CTGGCGTATAGCTACCTCTCCCGGGACTCTCGATCCGGCGTGCGAAAGCACACACGCACACACAACGCCCGCGATGTCAATCCCACCATAGGCATTAGGTCGTCCATGTTGCAGAATGCGAAACACGACGGGGATGGAGCGCACATCTGCACGAGAAGCCGAGGCGTCTCTCTCCCCTTGGCGCCGCATGCGTTCTCGAACTACTTGATGTATGGTTTGGGCGTGGCGCGTTTTTTCCGCACACGCATTCGTCAACGCGCACGCGGGCGAATATGCCACTCTCGCCCGGCGCCGCGCACGTGTTGCCGGAAAGTGGCGCCCCTGCTTCGACGCGCACGTTAACCCTTCGCCACGTTGTTTGAAGTCTGCGCGAACAGGCGACTCGTCGCCCTCGCCCAAACTCCGTGCGCAGTCCGCTTGGAAGTTGCGTTCCCGTGGGGGCGCGGCGCATAATTTGATCGGCGAATCGCGCGAAACTGGCCGCGGCATCGAGGCTGCGCGAGAAACCGACGAACGCCGGTGTCGCCCCAACGCCGTGCAGGTTCTGGGTGACAAAAAGCAGTGCTGTGTCATCGCGCCACCAGCTTCGTCTTCGCAGCGCCCATCGAAAATGCCCGCCCGTGCGCGGTTCGCGTTGTTCTCCAAGTCGCCTACTCGTCGGGAACAGGGCCCCGCGCGAACGCCTTCTGTTTGCTACGTGGGAACACGCGGCATACCAATATCAAATTTCGCATGTAGTACTTCTTATATGGCGGGAAGGAGAATGGGAAGAGGCGGGGCCCTCTGAATCGCTTGGCGCGGTTCATGCTTCCCTGTCCCGAATCTATTCAGCGTCATTCTTTTCTTGCGTGAACACGGCATACTCTCTCTTATTCAAATCTAGTTTACCCTGGTTTACCCTGGTCTGCCCGACTCCACGATATTGTGCCCGACCCGGTTCTACCATCCATCCGACTTTAGTCTACGCTGCCATGCCCTACTCTTCCCTGCATGAGCCTTTGGCGCAGTCCTACTAGAGTATTATTTCCCCTGCTCGACTCTACTCTCCTCTACTCAGCCCCACTCTATTCATCTACTCTGACCCAATCCTTCGCGACTCTCGTCAATACTTCTCTATTGCTGTATGTGACGAGCGTGGTGCGACCGTTGAGACGCCATTGGGACAATTGCAGAAAACCATTGGGTAAGCAAAGAAAGCCGTGCTGGTAGCAGAGGAAATAGCACGGATACTTTGGCGAATGCCAAATGTATATACGAATGTAGGTATGTGTAAAGTAACTATCTATATTTGTGTCTATATATATATATATATATACACGATTGCTCCTCGCCTACCCCGATCGCAAAGAGGGGGGCAAGAAAACAATCATCTGGGCCAGTTCGATAGCGAACGCGCCTGCCAATGCTGCCCGCGCCCCCCCCCTTTCCAATACCATGGACATCCTGCAAGGGGGAGAGTGGCCACGGGGCTGGGCAAGCCAGGCGGGCATGCCCCCCGTTGACATCCTCAGCCCCGCAGTCAACGCGGCACGCGTGTCGCTTGGGAGAGACCTGGGCTACAGGACTCTGTCGCCGTGGCCATGCGAGACACAGCGCGTTCCGCTTCGGGGGGCCGCGGGCTAGCTCGCTGCGCATCTGCATGGGGCTACGAAACCAAGGGAGGGCCATCGCCCCGACGCGCGGATGCTTGGGTCCACACGTTCGCTGCCTTGCCGAACCCGCGCGCGCGCGCTTGCCCCGCGCAAGCGTGAGACGCACAAAGTAGCCGAACACCGCGCTGGCAATCGCTCTGGCGGCTCACTCAGTCAGCCGCGCAAGAATGTCCTCTGGACACGGCGGCGGGCCAGATCCTCGGTGTCACGGTTGCCTCTGCCCGCGCGGGCACGCAAAATGCGTGGGCGCGCCGCCATGTCCGCCAGCAGCCCTCCGAGGATAAACCCCGAACTGGTCGCGGATTGCCAGCAAATTCGCCATCTGCGTGGCTGCGGGGAACATGGCGAAAAATGCACGCAGGGCCCGTCCATGTCGTCGGCGTTCTTGTATGTCGGCGTCCTCCGGGAGCGACAGTTGCGATCGAGGTCTGGTTCAGGTCGGGATAGGACGGCGCCCCGTTGGAGCGCCAAGGTCCTCCCGAAAAGGACGATCCCAAGGGAGCGCGAAGTCCCGCACGGATCTGGTACAACGGCCCTCAGGCCGCGAAGCTGGCCCCCGCCCCCTGGGAAGCGCGACGTCCATCTTGGATCTGGGTAGAAACGCGGTCCGTTGGCCTTCCCTGGGGGCCGCGAAAGTGGCGACAGCTGCGCAGCTGGCAGGCCCAAGGGAGCACGAGGCCCCGTTTGGATCTCGGCGAGACCACATCCCTCTGTACCTCCCAGGACCTCCCGAACGGGGGGACAGGTGTGCAGCTGGCAACCCCTGGAGGGCGTGAGGTCTGGCCGGGACTCTGTTAAGACTGCACCCCGCAAAACTCCCACGACCGCACGAAGGTGGCAGCGGTGGCGCAGCTGGCAGCAGCGGGCAACTCCCAGACAAGTGGGCGCGAGGGCATGAGACTAGAGAGAGAGGAGGCGGGAGGAAAGGTGGGCAATCTGAGAAGGAAAAGCACTAGCGCTCGATTCAACGCGACTACCTGATGGAAGGAGGGGCAGAAAAGAACGAATAGACCGATAACCTCTTGGGTATCGGGGCAGCACCAAAGAGGCGAGGTGTACCTTGGGCCCCCGTGAGACTGCATGCCGCAGATCTCAAAGGAGAACTGCAAACAAAAACACCGCTGGACGCGCGACAGCAGCACCGAGCGAGGAAAGGTCGAGTTCGGGGCCCTGCACGGACGCACTCCGACAGACCCCCGGCCCCCGGGAAGGAAGAACGAAAATAGCGACAGCTGCGTGGCTGGCAGCACCCGAAGAGGTGACGTCTAGAACAGCCCCATGACCACTGCAATGCAGCAGGCATCGCGACCAAGCCTTCCAATGGGGGACCCTAGCAGGGCGGTGCAGACATCGTGCTACTGTAACGAACGCTGAATCATCGGAGGGGCTTTTCTGGCCACGGCGAGCCTCGGCAACGAATGGGCTCCCCAACCTAGATCCACGGAGTGGCCCGAAAACCAGAGGCCGTCCTGAGCCCAAGGCCCCCAAGGCAGGTGGATTCTGGCACGGAGCCGACCCTGAGGTCCGAAGATACGAGAACAATGCAACGTGACCGCACCGTTCGGCGGCTTCGTCGGGCCAGATCGATCTGTGAGGGTCCCTGGGCCCGAAACGAGGCGACAACGCCCCGTGTGCAAAAACTGACACCTCCAGATATCTCAGGGACCCGGCGACGCAACTCCGAGCCTGCTCCAGTGGGCTACGTCGCCCCCCTCTGGGCCCGTTGGAACAACGATAGAGGGGGTCTGGCACAACTGGGGGGGGGGGGCACGTCGGCCTGGAATCGGGGACGCGTCGCCGAGAAATTGGCGTCAGGCCCCCGGTAGCCGATCCGCACGTTCCTGCGCAGGGTGGGGACAGTGGGCCGCGATCGGCGATCATTGGGCGATTGGAGGCCGATGCATCCCCTCCTATTCGGGTTGACCCAAAAGGGGGTCCAGCGACAAGGGGGTGGTGCAATAGATTTGGTGCAATAGGCTTGTGGGGTTGCAATACGTTTGGGGCGTGCAGTACATTCCGGGGCGGAAATGTATTGCTGGATTTTCGCGTGCTATACATTAGTTGCAATACAACGCAATACAATTCTCCAGCGCAATACGTTTGCAATACAATTGCCCCAAATCTATTGCACCACCCATTGCCAGTAGGGGACCCCACTTTTGGGGGCCTCCTGACCTTTGCCCATCCCCCCCACAAAAAAACCGTTGCCCCCTGGTGGTTCTCAGCACATAGCTCGGGCCTCCGGCGCCGGTCCCTCGGAAAGGACCCTGGCGCCCCCGGGTGTCTCGGAGAGGGCGCAGCTGCCGCGAGAGCATCCCCGGACGTGGAACGCCTCAGAGGGGGAAAACACACACGAAAAACGCACAATACCCCATCAAACTCGAACTTCGACGGGCCGCGGGTCCTCCCCTGTGCCCCCCCCCCCCCCCCCCATACCCTTACCGCTGATCCGGGCCGCGTTGCGCGAGGTGCCCGGCGCCGCCGCGGCCGCGGCGGGTGCCAGCTCACCAGCGCCGTGAGCGAGAGCGCGGCACGGCGGCTCGTCGACCTGTGCACCTGCGTGCGCACCGCGAGCGAGGCCGTGCTGGGCTCACAGACACCTTCGGGCCGTGTTGGAGGCCTGAAGATGGTCACCAACACCAACACAAGGGGTTTGAGCATCGTTTAACCGACCCCTATCCCCATAGACGTGGCCTGGGCCCCCCTGGCCGATTAAACCCTATACATGTGCATATAGGCTGTTCCCTTCGGGTCTCGAGGGGTATATCCGGGGTGCTGAGATGGTGGGGGTCTGGATGGGGATGGGGATGGGGATAGGTGTCCGTTGAAACGGTACTGAGTGCTGGGGGCCTGGAAATGCGCACCAACGCCAACACAGGGGGTAGCCTCCAGCGGAGGGAGATGATCCTGGATGCTGGCGTTGGTTGTAATACTATGGTTGCCTAGAAGCCCGAATATTACCACCATCACCGAGGCCGGGAGCACCTTCCCTCGGTGGAGGCACACCGCCGACGTTGGTGTCAGTGCCAGCCTCTAGGCCTCCGACTGTGCGGCCGGCGGCACACCACGCGACGCGCTGGGCCGTACGGGCGGGCGCGCGCGGCGCCCTCGGGTGCTAATGATAGGTGGCGGCCTCCGAACCCTACCCCCGCCGACCGTCAAACCTCCTGAATCCATGGGAGGCGGGGGTGGGGCCTCGGACTTCGCCACGTGCTCGCCAAACTCCGAAGCCCACCCCCGCCGACCATCGAGCCGCCCGAAGCGTTGCTCGGAGAGGCTGGGGATCAGACCCCGCCGCCGGGGGGAGGAGCGCGCGGGACGAGCGCGGGCGGGGCGGCTGCTCTTGCCTCAGGAGCCGTGATGGTCGGCCTCCTGCTTCTGCGCCAGGCGGGCCGCCATGGCGCGGATCAGGTTCTGGACGTGGTACGGGTGGGGCAGGGCGTGCTGGGCCTTCGTCTTCTTCATGCCTCGGTGGGCTTGTCTTCCACTGCCACCACCACAAGCAGGAGGGGGAGGGGGTCCTCATCACTCCACCGCCACCACCACAAGTAGGAGGGGGAGGGGGTCAGGGGTCCTCCCCCTCCTCCCCCTCCCCATCCCCCTCCTCCTCCTCCTCCTCCTCCTCCTCCTCCTCATCCTCCTCCTCCTCCTCCTCCTCATAAATCTTCATAGATACGACTCAGCCGAGTCCTCCCTAATCATCTTCAGTGCCAACAAGCGCATCCCTCCTCATACCCCCTCCTCCTGCTTTACTCACTCCCTATCCTCCTCTTCATACGCCTTCTCTTTACGACTCATTCCTCCTGTCCCCTGCTCCATCCTACCTCCTCCCCTAAGTCTTTCCGTCCTCATCCTCTCCTCACTCCTCCCTCATCCCTCTCATCCCCTCCTCCTCATCCTCCTCTCTCCACCCTCCTTCTGCTTCCTCCTACTTGTATCCTCATCCTCATCATCCTCCTTACTCCTTCAGCATCATCCTCCCACTCCTCCTCCTCTCACTCCTCCTCCTCCTCCTCCTCCTCCTCCTCTCCCCCCTCCACTTTGTGGTGGTGGTGGTGGCGGCGGCAAGCAGGCCCATCATAGCACCGGCGGTGGCTTGTGTTGCGCAGCCTGCTGGCCGCTGCTCGCGGTTTCGACGGCGGGCGGGCCCGCGTGCTCGGGCGTGGCCCCGCAACCGCCCCCCCCGAAGGCCGCGCACCGGAGGCCACGCTGGCAGAGAGCCACCCTCACGCGCAGCCCATGGGCGGAGGGCAAAGTTGAGGGATGGAAGAACGACCCTACCCTGGGTTACAAGTGCGTGGTCTGTAAACCTCCTGGGAGCCCCCAAGGCCTAGAGCCGCCAGGACGCGGCACATCACGCAGGGCTTAGCCTGTCGGCCCACAGAAGTTTCAGCGCACAGCGCCCCGTAAACCAGGGTAGGGGCGATTTTCTGCCCTTGACAGAGGGCACAAGTATACACTTGTAGTACCGTCGGACGGACATGATCGGAGAGGACACGCGAGAGGGCACGAGACCCTGCCGAGGGCCACCCTGCCGCAGAAACGCAGGAGGCATGGGTCGCAAGACACAGGACACGAGGGTGGCCTTGATCTGGCAGGGTCGACCTACTACTCTGGGCCGCCTGTAGCCCGCGCGGGTTTCTTGGATCGGCGCTGGGCCCCCCTCCCTGGCTCGCGGAGCTCGCTGGAGGCGGCGCCGCCGGAGGTGCCCTGCAGGGAGATCCAGCGCCAGACCCCAAAAGTCCGCGCGGAGCACCAAGGACACGAACAGGCACCGATACAGATACCCCCAGTGCAAGGGCTCCCAGTTTCGCGCTTCGCGCTGCGCGAAGCGCGAAGTTCGAATCACTTCGCGCTCTCGCGCCGCCTCCCAGGGGAGAAGAGGAGAAGGAGGAGGAGGAGGAGGAGGAGGAGGAGGAATCGGAGCCGAACCGCGAAGCGCGAATAACTTCGCGCCCTCGAGGGCGCCCTTGCCTCCCCCAGGGTGCGTCCTGACCAGAACTTCAAGGCGAACCTGGCCGTGGCGGCGAGCGCCTCCCAGGAGGCCCCCAAGAAGCGAAAACGAGGCAAGGATGGCAGAAGGGGCGCCTCCTCCTCCTCTGACTACTTCGGCGGCGCGCCCAGGGGGGAAGTGAGAAGGGGCGGGCCTTCTCAGAAGGCTCGGAAGTTCCCCGGCCTTCTGAGAAGATCTGCAAGAACAGTTCTCGGAAGGCCGGGGGGCCTTCTGAAAGGCCCTGAGATGGTCTTCTCCCTCTCACTTCCGCCCTGGCTTGTCGCCGACTGTAACGTTTTTTCTCCTGCCAGTGCCCAGCGACAGGGTGTAGACGGACGCCGGCGCGTCGTCCGAGCACTCCGACGGGGCGGGCGGGAGCTGCATGGCAGGCGGCGCGCTGCCGCCGCCCTCCGCCAGCACGTGGGGCGTCAGCTGCGACTGGCCCTCGAGCTCCGCCAGCTCCCGCTGCGCCGTGGGCACCCAGTCGTACGGCGGCGGCGGCTCGCCTGAGGGCCACGACATCTGTGTATATATCTCGGGTCGGGCGAAAGGGGGGGATAGCCAAGGGGGGGGGGAGAATCAGCTCACGTAGCTGATTTTCCCGGCGCCTCCCGGCGCCAGAGGCGGCTATGTATCAAGGAATGGGCCCCTCGGCCCTCGGTGGGGCCGAAGCCAGCTGCATGCAGCAGATTTCGTAACCCCCCCTTTCCCAATACCCCCCCTTTCGTCCAGCCCGAATATCCGCTGCTCCCTGGCCAGGCCCATCCTGAACCCAGCAGCGGTGTACACGCCACGCCCTCCTGGCTCGGCCAGGAGGGCGTATGCACAGCTCTGGGGTTCAGGGTGGGCCGGGCCAGGGACGGACTGCACGCAAGAGCGACACTGGGCATGAGCGACCGCGGGGGGACCGAACACAAGCACGAAAGATGTGCTACCGTATCGCGTTCGGCCATCGAGGGACCCCAGTGGGCCCGCACCACATGTCCCTCCAGCGTGTAGTCGAAGTTGAGCAGGGACCGACCGTCCCGGCATTCCTGTAGTCCTACCACGGAATGTTCTTTGAACCCCAAAATGTTCGAAGAACAAAAACAATCTTCTTAGAATACAAGCCCGATGTGTTAAAACAAGACAGTCCCAGCCAGACATGTTCTAAGAATACGTCGCGGAAACCACAAGAGGTTCTTAGAACATTGTTTGGTAGGGCTGTAGGCGAGCCAGGACGCTTCGCCACTGCTTGACGAAGGGAGCAGTGGATATGCGCAGATTTAGCCGCCCGATCGCCTGGGTTCGGCGAGGGCGCCGGGCCGGGCGGCGTGTGCAGCACCCACTTGCTCTCCGTCTCGCCGCCGGCGTGGTCGCCGGAGGCCACGGCACTGCGCGGAGGGGAGCTCAGCTGCTCGTCCGAGGACTGGGGCTCCTGGAAGTCTGGGCCCTCCTCGGTCAGCGGGGGGCCTGGGGAGTTGGGGCTGGGCTCGAGGTCGTCCTCGGGAGAGCAGCAGAAGAAGGTGGGGGTTAGGCATACGCGTGGGTCCCCTTGGGAAGTCGGCCTGCGTGCACAATGCGGGCCTGTGGGGTCGTCGGGCGTGCGTAAGAAATGGAAGTTGGCATCATATTCACGAATGCATTCGCGCGTGCCTATCAACGGATTTCGAGTGGTCGTCTTGGGCATGGTCGTTTTGGGTATGCGGCATGCCTGAGCGAGTTCATGCAGGGCGACGACATCTATACAGATCCACTGCTCCCTGGCCGGGCCCATCCTGAACCCAGCAGCGGTGTACACGCCCTGGCTTGGCCAGGAGATCATATACGCAGCTCCTCAATTCAGGATAGGCCTGGCACCATGGAGCAGCGGATGTGTATGGATAATTTGTATGTCCACTGCTCCATATAATTACTAAACCGGGCGACGACATTTCAGATTTCGCCGCCCGACTCAGAATGGTGGCGTCTTGACGGCCCGCGCTGGGGAAGGGCGACGGAGGCCGCGGGCCAGGGAGCGGCGGGCCCAGCGCCGAGCCAGGAGGTCCGAGCGGACCTCCGAAAGTGCATTCCTCTCCCAGGGCAAGGGCCCCCAGCTTCGCGCTTCGCGCTGCGCGAAGCGCGAAGTTCGAATCACTTCGCGCTCTCGCGCCGCCTCCCAGGGGAGAAGAGGAGGAGGAGGAGGAGGAGGATGAGGAATCGGAGCCGAACCGCGAAGCGCGAATAACTTCGCGCCCTCGAGGGCGCCCTTGCCTCCCCCAGGGTGCGTCCTGACCAGAACTTCGAGGCGAATCTGGCCTTGGCGGCGAGTGCCTCCCAGGAGGCCCCAAAAAGGCGAAAACGGGGCAACGGTGGTGGTGTGAGCACCATCTCCTCCTCTGACCAATATTAGGCGGCGCGCCCAGGGGGGAAGTGAGGAGGGGCGGGTCGCCCCAGAAGGCTCGGCAGTCCCGTGGCCTTCTGGGAAGTGCTCCCAACCTTCCCCGAAGATGCCGAAAGCCTCTGAGAGGGCCCGAGGCCTTCCGAGAAGCCCTGCCTCCTTCTGCGAAGGCCTTCTCTCGCTCGCTCGCCGCCGACTCATGCTGGGCACGAGGATCCTCGCACGGGCAAGCGGCAGCCAGGATGCGCGGTAGGGATGCAGCGGCCTCGGGAGTCCAGGCTGGCACTTGTCGAAAAGGGCGCGGCCGAAAGCCCGAGGATGCGACGGGTAGGCTGATGCATCCCCATCCTTGCCGAACTGGCGCTGGGATGCCGCTACTCCACAGAACCCTCCTGGGGGGGGCGTTCTGACAACGACCCCGAAGCGAATCCAGCCGCGGTGACGATGCAAGGGTAATCAGCGGTACCAGTATAGTTGCCTTCTCCGCATTCTTGAACAAGTATTGTATTATTCCGCTCCTGCAACAGCCGCTCGAACGCCTCGAACACATCCTCGTCCCGGTGGGGCACCACGGCGAAGCACAGGGCGAAGTCGATGCTCGGGTGTTGCCAGACGTGCCGATTGGCCCGAGGTGTCCCTGGGAGGGTCCTACGGCCTCCAGAACACCCCTCACGAGGTCCCGGGGGTCCCAGGGGCTCCCACATCGATGGAAAAGCTAGGGGAGCCTTGGTCCAGGGCTGGCGGCGCGCACAAGGGGGGGGCGCGCTTCGTAGAAGGCAGGGGCATTAATAGAAGATGATGGGCCGATTTTCCACCACACCTACCATAGGTAGGAGAGGAAGGAGGAGGAGGAGAAGGAGGAGGAGGAGGAGGAGGACCTCCCCATCCTCCCTTCTCACCCGTCCTACCTATGGTAGTCGTGGTTGAAAAATGGCCCGTCAGAAGATCTGGGAGGGCTTCTAAGAAGGCGTCCTATGAGTCGGAAGGGCTTCTCAAAATGGCCCCTGCCCTCGTAGAAGCTCCCCCGCCTGCTGAGAAGACCGCCCCTCTCTCGCGCGACCCCCGACCGCACGACGCGACGCCAGCATGAGGACGAAAGTGACGTCATGATCAGACTGGCCCGGGATACGCTCCAGGACTTCCAGGCGAGAAGGCGAGGGGCCTCTCAGCAGGCGGCAGGCCTCCGCAGAAACCCGCGCGCCGTCTGAGGCGTCTCCCTTGCCTTCGGGCGATTTTCATCATCAGCATCATTACTCGTATCGTCAGTATCAGTATTATCATTATCGGTATCATCATTGTGTCTGTCGTTTTTCCGGGGGGGGGTCAGGGGGGACGTAAGACCTGGGTACAGGGTACTCGGAAATCCCCGACGAGGTCGTCAAAAAACGACGAGGCCGAGCCTGCATTTTGACGAGGCCTCCCGCTGCAGACATCCCACGAAACTCCTACTCGTCAAAATCCCAATCGCGGTCGTCAAAAAACGATGGCGAACCCGAGTCCTGGCAAACCCGGGTCTTACGCTCCCCCGAGGGGGGGGAGCTTCGGGCGCAGCGCAGAGAACTCCCCGGCAGGCCGGGGGGACCTCCGGGCCTTCCGCGCAGGGCCCGCCCCTCCTCCCCCCCCCCCCCACCGGGGCTCGCCGCCGACACTGGCCACTGCTCGGACGTCCACTCCCTGTGCTTCTCGTCGGTCTCGTGCGTGGCTTTCTCGCCAAATGGTCCTCGATGCGTGCTGGTCCTCGATGCTTTCTCGCCAAATGGTCCTCGCTTATTCGTGTCGGTTTCGTGCGTGCTCCTCGATGGCCCTCGCCGGAGGGAAAAACTGCACACGCCCCAGCGATGCCAAAAGGACAATCGCACCCGCAGCAGCCCCCGAGATGCGCTGCAGCACCTCGTCCGGCAGCTCCCGGAGCAGCAGCCGCTCCAGGCAGGCGGCGCGGCTGCAGGCGTGGGGCCGCACCGCGATGGAGCGGTCGCCGACCACGACCTCGGCCTCGCTGTTCACGAGCGGCCCCGCCCACAGGTGGATGAGCACCTCTTGGGTCATATGCTGCCCCCATCGTACTTTCGAGGACCGAGTCCCAGAAATCATGCCGAGCACCCCGGAAAGCAGCGGCACGGTGTCGAGCGAATGCTTACCGCCCCCCAGGACCCGACGCGTGAAAGCCCGCCAGCTCCGGTACTCTCTTGGTGCTCGAAGTTCGTTTTCTGGCGACCAAGGCCCCCCAAATAGGTTGGAACATCATAACCATTGGGCGGCGCGCACCGTGGAGGGCAGGGGGGAGGGGGGAAGGCTTCTCAGGAAAAGGCTGCTTCCCAGACGGCGCGCGCCAAAAATGGATTAGCGATCCATGGATTTGGCGCGCGGTCGCCAAATCCATGGATCGGGGGGAGGTGCCCTCCCCAGAGTGCGGCCGGTGCCGCCTCGTTCGGCGGCGGAAATCCGCGATTCCCCATGGAAATGTGGCCCGTCACTAATCTACGCCCCCTTGATCCATGTTTGCAATCGCCTGACTGTAGACAAGACCGGCGCCTTCGGGGTGCTGCGAAGAAGCCTTCCCTCCTGCCCCGGCCCCACCTCTACGCGTGGCTCACCTCTGTGGGCCGCCCACAGGGTCATGCGGCAACTTGCGGGAGCCTCCCGTACCATCCTGCTGGCTCTTGCGAATCGACGCTCGTCGACGCCAGAGTAGTCGACCGTGAATCGATGCGAATAGACGCTATCTCACCGACTACCAGGCGCTGATCGACGCCAGTGTACTACGTAAAAACGGAGTTGCGGGGGTATACCAGGCTCACATGATTTGCTATCGAAAAAGGGTGCCCGAGCAAACCCTGAGATCTGGGCGTTGCAATGTTTCGCACCGCACGCTTTTTCGACCGGAGTCGGGCCCTGGGACCATCACGGATCGATCCAGCTCGAACAACGCACCAGAAGGATAGTATCTGGTGCCTCCCTTGTTTTCGTAACGTCGCATCTCGAGACATGGGGTCGCAGGATCGCACCGCATCGCCCTTGCCTGGGCGATTCGGCGGCGAGCGAGGGGAGAAGTGAGAAGAAGAAGGCCTTCTCAGAGGGTTCGGAAGTCCCCCCGCCTTCTGACTCAGAGGTCTTCTGAACCTTCCCCGAAGACACAAAGACTTCTCAAAGGCGCGAGGACTTCTGAGAAGTCCCGCCGCCTTCTGAGACGGCCTTCTCCTTCTCACTTCCCCCCTGTCGCTCGCCGCCGAGCGATGTCGGGTTGGAGGACATCGGACCCTGGACCTCCTCCTCCTCCTCCTCCTCCTCCTCCTCCCTCCCTCCCTCCTCCTCCCTCCTCCCTCCTCCTCCTCCTCCTCCTCCTCCTCATCCCTCCTTCCTCCTCCCGGACATCGGACCCTGGACCCGGCCGCCGCGCCGCTGCAGCGGTGACCCCGTGTGCGTCGGCCCCCTTTCGGCGGCCTCGGGCCTCCCGGGCCTGGGCCGAGCCGAAGTCGAACTGCGCGTTGTCCCAGTACCACCGGTACTGGTAGTCCTGCTTCTCCACGTGGGACCCGGGCGTGCGCTCCCGGAAGTAGTCGAACACCGACTTCACGCCGTCCATCCACTCCTCGCGCCCGTCGACGTCTCCGTCCTCGACGAGCTTGCTCCACTCGGTCTGCCCCGGCAGCCGGTAGACACAGCAGCCCTCCGGCGCCAGGATCACGGGCAGGCCCTCTGCGACCCTCAACAGGGTCTGGCGGGACTTGTCGCTGGTGATCACCACCGTGGTGTTCTCGTGGCTGGCGATGGTGTGCAGGCACTGCCGCAGCTCGGCGGGCAGCGAGAATGCCTTGGGTGGGCGCCGGGGCTGCGTGCTAGACCTCGGGAAACCCAAAAAGGCATCACTATCGCTACTCCGCGGCCCTCTTTAGAGAAAAGAGAACTATGCACATACACCGATTCTGGCCAGGCCCATCCTGAGCCCAGGATCGGTGCACACGCCCGCTACCTTGGCCAGGAAGGTATATGCACCGATCCTGGGTCAAGGACGGTCCTTGCCAGGATCGGTGCATGTGCATAGTTATCTTCGCCCTCTGCTGGGGTGCCTGGTGGCCAAACCTCCGATGGCGAATCGGGCGGCGGCGCCGTGGGCCTCCCAGGAGGCGCAAGAAGGTCACAGCGGGGCAAGGGCAGCCAGATGGGTACTCCAGGTCTCTCAATAAGCGTGGGGGGGTGGATCGCCCAGGGGGGGTGGGAGACCGCTGTCCTTCGGGGGGCGTGGGGGGGTTGCTGAGCGAGAGAGGGTGCTTTTGGGGCGCGTGGGGGGTCGGGCAAGGGTCGTCGGACAGGTTGGCACGGGGGGGTGCTCAGTGAAGGATCTGGAGTACCTTGTTCCCTCCTCCGAAGACCGCTTCTTCGCAGGCACCAGGCACTCGAGCAAATCGATGATCAGGAGCCGCCTCTTGGATTCCGACCACTCCAGCAGCAGCTCCTCGTAGGGCAGGAGCGGGGGCACCTCTGCGGTCACCTCCATGAGGTCAGAGCAGGCCTCCTGCAAGCACTGCAAGAACGTCTCGGCCCACTTCTGCGCCGTGTGCTCACAGAGGTACTGATACGCGTAGTTGTGCAGGGCGGCACGGTCTTCGTCGCTCATCTCGAGTGCATCGTGGATCGCGTTGGCTGTCTCCTGCAAATTCCACGGGTTGACCCGTATGGCTCCAGCTCCCAGCGACTGCGCCGCGCCGGTGAACTCTGACAAGATAAGCACCCCAGGGGGCTCTTTATTCTTGTGCGACGCGATGAACTCGTAAGACACGAGGTTCATCCCGTCCCGCAAAGCCGTGATCAAGGCAACATCTGCGACCTGGTACAACGCCACGAGATCATCGAACGACATCGACTTATCTAAATATATCACGGGCACACCGGTTTCCAGCTTCGAGTGCTTGCCGCAGATTTGGCCAACAAGTTCGTGCACCTGTCGCTGGAGCTTCTGATACTCGGGGACGTCCCTCCTGGAGGGCACTGCGAGCTGTACAAGGACGCACTTCGAGGCCCAATCAGGGTGCAAATCCAAAAAACAATCGAAAGCCATGAGCTTATGCGGGATGCCCTTTGTATAATCCAACCTGTCCACGCCTAAAATGACTTTCCGGCCGTTGTACTGTTCTTTCAAGAAATCAATATGTTGCTTCACATTCGCACGGTCCAGGGCATCTGTGAACTCCGAAGGCGAGATCCCGATTGGTACCGTCGCACACGTCACAATGCATCCGCCTATCGAAGTTGCATCCACGCTGTGCGACTGAATCTCCAGAGACGTCAGCTGTACGCAGGAACTGAGGAAATGCCGGAGGTAGTCATAGACATGGAATCCGAGCAAGTTTGCATGCAGCAAGCTCTCGACGATCTCCTGGCGCCACGGCAATGTTCGGAACACCTCGGCCGAAGGAAATGGAGTGTGCAAGAACCAACCCACATTGGAGTCTGGCTTCTCGTCTCGGAGGTACTTTGGAACGAGCATCAGGTGGTAGTCGTGCACCCAAACGTAGTCGTCGTCTTCGTACACTTGAAGAATCGCCTCTACAAACAGCTCGTTTGCCTTCTTGTAGGCCTCCCACTGTCCAGTGCTGCACTCGTTGACGCCCTTGTCAAACGGGGGCATGATGTAATGGAACAGTGGCCACAAAATATTATTGGCAAAGCCGTTGTAATACTCGTTGATGATTTCCTGTGGGAGGAACACGGGGTAGCAGTTCTGCTTGATGGACCGAAGAATCAAAAGACTGCATACAAATACACCGTCGGAGCTCCGCGCGGACTTCTCGCGTCGGCGCAGGGCCTCCCTGGCGGCGCCTCCAGCGCCGCCACTGGCGCGCTGAGCGCGCCGAAGAGGGGTGGTCCAGCGCCGATCAAAAAAAAATCCCCGCAGAACTCCGAAGATTTGTATGTGTGTGCCGTGCTTCATTCCTCCAATAGACTCCGCGAGCACGATCTCCTTGTGCTCCTCGGGGATCTCTTTGCCAGGCCACCCGATCCACACCATGTCGAACGAGGAGCGGGAGGTGAGGCCCGAGAGGCACGAGACGAGGCCGCCGGAGGCCCTCTCGAAGTGCCAGTTGCCCTCGCTGTCCACGTGCGGGGTGGTGGGCAGCCGGTTCGCCACCACCAGTATCCGCCGATCCCTCGTGGGTCTCCGGGCGTGTGCGATGCCCCACTGGCCATCGCTCGGACGTCCATCCCCTGTGTTTTGTTCGGTTTCGTGCGTGTTTTTTTCGCCAAATGGTCAAGGATGCTCCTCGATGGTCCTCGTCGAAGGAAAAATGCACCGGTCCGAGCGAGGCCAAGCCCAGGGTCGGGAACGCTTGCTTCGCGTGTCGCGTCGGCGGCCCCGGCGACACGCTGTGCCCTGCAAGCGGAGCGCGCGGCGCTCCGCTCTGCGGCCCAGAAGGCTCGGAAAGACTTGGGAAGCTGACGCTGGGAGGCCGGGAAGAGGATAGCGTGACGTGACGCATCGAAGCGTGGTGGGCCAGCACCAGCGGAGCGAGAGGCTACGCCAAAGTTAAAGTTCCTGGCCCTACAGTGGGACTCGACTGGACAGGACACGCGAGAGGACACAAGACCCTTCCGAGGGCCACATTGCCACAGGAATGCAGGAAGCATGGGTCGCGAGACACAGGACACAAGGGCAGCCTTGATTCGGCAGGGTCGACCTACTAATCTGTGCCGACTGTATCTGTAAAGCTACGTGGCACACGTGCAGGACTGCCTGCTCGGTCCGGTGTCCGTGTGGGCGCCAGCCTGCCCTCACAGGCCCTTCCAGGGCCTCCCGACGTTGCCCAGTTTTGGAGGCCTGGAAATTGGCACCAACACCAGAACAGGGGGTTGCCTCCACATGGGAAAGATGATCCTAGACTTCGGTGTTGGTGATAATATTTCGGTCACCTTGGAAGCCAGAATATTACCACCATCACCGAGATCGGGATCTTCTTCCCCCGGTGGAAGCACTCCGCCGATCTTGGTATCGGTTTTAACCTCTAGGCCTGCGACAGTTCTTTCCTCTGTCCTCTCCTCTCCCTCCTCGCCCAGTGCTCGCCGCCCGCTGGCACTCTGGCTCGGACTCGGGCCTCGAGCCGAGCCCGCGACCGCAGAGGCTGTTTGCCGCGCGATCGACCCCCCCCCGCGGCCGCGCCGCCCGCAAGAGCCGTACAGTCGGGGCGTTGACCCAAGGAACCCTAAGGAACGAGGCCCCTTTTTTTCCACAAGTTGAACTTCGATTTCCGATCGAAAACATAAGGAAAACCTGAGGCAAGCTGTGAAACACTTAAGGAACACGGAGCCCCTCCCCAACGAAAAGGGATCCTTCTTCAGGGCCCCGACTGTAGGTCCCTGCGGGACCTGGCCTCGAGAGGGCCAGCATCTACCACGAGGGCTCCGCGGAGCCCAAGATCTACCAGAGGATCTCAGGGAGCCCAACGTCGGTAGTGCGTCCGTCGGACTGTCATGCCCCCCGCCAAAGACCCCAGGGACGACTCCCAACAGAGCTCCAACACCTCCAAACCTCTCGCGACACGCGTGGGAAGACCAATCGGCATGGCACGCGCGCGCTCGACGCGGCACAGACCGGAAGCCCAAAAAGCGGACAATGAATAAAGTGGCCAGCGGATGCGGGGTAAGACGGCCCAATGTGGCCACAAGAGTCCCGAGGCGGCTCCGAGAGGCCCTCAAGACTGCCTCCGCCGAATGGGCCAGAAGAAGGTGCAAGAGCGCCCTGAGACAGCCCCAGACGCCCCCATGTGGCCCCAAGAAGCTCCGGGAGGCCCCAGAACGACTTGACCGCACGTGCTCTGGACGTGCACCCCGCGAAGCGAGAGGAATCTTCTGCCTCCGGTGGTTGTGCTTGTGCTGCAGGTGCGCCTTGACCGACTGCTCGAAGTCCTGCTTCTGCTGCTTCTTGCGGATGTGCTCCTGCACGAGGGTGCTCTCGCGGTTCAGCTGGCGCGCGGGGGGCAACAGCGAGTGTCCGCTGAGCGACATTCCAGTCAGCGGCACAGATGCACCTCAAACTACAAGACCCTCGCTTAAATACATCGAGCACAAGCTCGTCGAGGTCACGAAGACCCTGCCTCCCCCCTGATGGGCCTGCCTCAAACGCGCACCTTGAGCACAAATGTCTACGCACTGCCTGCTTCTACCGCAGGTCCAGCCCCCAGATGACACTCCGCAAAATGGTGGGCTCGACAAGCTGAGCTTCTGGGAAGATCAGAGGGCCTGTAAACCTCCGAGACTTGCCGTGCTAGATTTAGGTCGGGCATGTCCCCTTACAGGCGGATGTTGGGGGAAAATTGGAAAATAGTCCAACTATACCCCAAAACATGTATTTTGGAGTATGGAATATTCCTCTTGCATAGGGACAGGCCCGACTTAATGTTAGATTTGTGATTTGCACTCACCTCATGCTTCACCCTTTGGGGCGGTGCGGCACCAGTCACCCTGGGTCAATCCTACCACCGCCTCCACCTCCCTGCTCCGCGCCTTCACACCGCGCTGGAGAGCCATGGACGGACGAATGCTGGCTGCGAGGTGGCATTAACGATCCTGGCGCATTTGCGCCCCTTCGCCTCCTCCCACGCGCTCTATCATCCAACCATCGTCTTTACTCCATCCAATTCTGCCCGCCCCTCCGACCCTGGCACCATGCACCACGCTAGGAGCGGACGAGTGCTGGCTGCGAGGTGGCACTGCCGACTCTCGAGGCGGCGCGACCCCAGGAGCAGAGGGGCCCCGTAAGGAGGAGCAGGAGGCGTGGGAGGGAGCAAGGAGGAGCAGCACGGGTAGCCTTAAGTCGGGCCTGTCCCCCTACAGGGGAATTTCCGACAAACAATAAAACATCATACACCAAAAATGCATCAAAAGGGTAAAACAATACTCAAACAATAGTCCCCAGACTATGTTTGGATGATTTTTTTTTTTTTTTTTTTACTATTTTGAAGGTATCTTTTATTTTTCGTCGAAGCTCCCCCTGTACGGGGACAGGCCCGACTTCAGGGTAGCCGGAGAAGGGAGGGAGAGAGGGGGGGGGAGCTGGAAGAGGCAAGAGCTGGAGGAACACCGACACCTCCAGCGGCGCGGCCTCTCCGAGGCACGTGGCCCAGGGTCTCTCCGCTCCCCCCCCCTCGGGGGGCCGCCGCTCCTCCCGAGCAGTGCTCTCTCTCTGCCCGGAGTCCCGGCAGGGGCCCCTGGAGGCCGACAGCAGGCAGCAACCTTCAGCACTTCGGCCCCCGGCGAGAAGAAGTCGGAGGGAGGAGGAGGAGGAGGAGGAGGAGGAGGAGGAGGAGGAGGAGGAGGAGGAGGAGGGAGGAGGGAGGGGGAGGGGGGGAGGGGGGAGGGGAGGAGAAGGGAGGCAAGAGAAAAAAGGAAGCGAGGAGAACGGGGAAGGGGGAGCTGGAGGAAGACGGCCAGGAGCAGGAGTCGCTGGAGGAGTCGACGACGGCCTCTCGACGTCTTCCCCAAAATGACTTTGGAGTCCCGACACGGTGCGGTGACAGACCGTGCGGTGACCTCGAAATCCCCCAAGACCTCACCGCACGGTCCGTCACCGCACTGTCTTGGGACCCCTGAGGCCCCTGTCGGCCGAGACATCCTCGGAGAATGACCCGAGTCCCAAAACCGTGCGGTGACCCCGAATCCCCACCGACCCACCGCACGGTGTGGTCACCACCCCTTTTGGGGGCCCCCGAAAAACGTTCTTCGCCCCGAGCCGTTGGTTGATGGTCCCGGGACCGGGGAGCGGCCTCCAGGGGGGGGGGGAAGACTAATCCTCCTCCTCCTCCTTCTCCCTCCTCCGCCACCTCCTCCACTCACATCAGATCTCCTCTGCTCATCTGCCATCTACAAGCCGCCCAGCCGCGGCTCAATAGGAGTGACACCCTCCTCTTTCCCCTGACGATGCCCAGGGAGCGGCCCGCTCCCGCGGCACATCGTCTTCTCTGCGCGCTCTCGACCAATCCTTCCAGTCCTCCGCCTTCCGTGGGTCCCCCTGATCGCCCCGCTCCTTTCGCTCCAATTCCCACTGCTGTTGTTTGTACTCGATCTCATCCTTCATCGTCTTTTTTTCATCCTGTTTATCCTCCTGTTCATGTGCCACCTCCTCCACCTTCTCCCCCTCCAGCTATTTACACAACTTCCCTTGTCCGATTGCACAGGACACGAAGGGTCTTTTTGGGAGGTCCAGGTCCACTATGACACGCGTCAGCGGAGAAATAAACATCTACGCAAAGCGAAGGGGTGGGTTGGAGGGGTACGATTTCAGATATGGCGCGAGCGCGCCTAGCGTAATATACATACTATTGTCCTCTGTCCCCAGATCCAGCCCGAGTGAAGAATCGTTTCTCCAGCATGCTGACTGTGATCGCGCACATACTTTCAAAAGCGATCTAACTCATATCTAAGGTCTGTTGTTTTCTTCGCTGGCATTTTACACTACAGTCGGGGCCTTGACCTGAGAACCCCCAAGTAAGGAACGAGGCCCCTTTTTTCCATAAGTTAAGCTTCGATTCCCTATGGAAAACACAAGGAAAGCCTGAGGCAAGCTGCGAAACACTTAAGGAACGCGGAGCCCCGTCCCAACGAAAAGGGTTCCTTCTTCAGGGCCCCGACGGTATGTCCAAAATTCAGTTTCCGCTGCTACGTTGGCCTCATTTCAGGATCGGAGTTCAGAATGGCGCTCCCGCCCAAGCGCGGGCCTGACATCTGGATCGGAATCCACTCTCATCGGTGTCGCCCCCATTGCCGCTCCTCCGCCTTCCCCTGGTCCTCTGGATCCTACCGCCCCTCCTGCTTCTGCTGTTGCGGCTGCTCTGACTCCTCCTCATCCGTCCTCGTCTTCCTACTCGTGCTCATCCTCCTGCCCATCCTCCTACTCATCCGCCGCCTCGTCACTCTATGTGCGCATAGCGCGATGGGGTATGTTGGCGGTTTTAGGTCCGCCACGAAACCAGCCGGTGGAAATTTAGCGCAATGCCAGGGGATGGACGGTTAGGACGTCAAATTTGGCGCGAGCGCGTCCGGCTTGCCTCCCTCCTCCTCTCCTCTCTCATCTCACCTCCTCTAGCCTCCACCCCCTCGCTCCCTCCTCCTCCCTCGCCTGCCTCCTTGCCTCCTCCGCTTCCCCGACGGTTGTCGGAAGTTCTCGGAGACTTGTCCGAGGTCCTCGCAGAGGAGCAACAAACTGCATACACATGATTTCTCTGAGGCCCGCGTAGGTTGATTGGCTCGGCGCTGGACCCCCATCCCTGGCGCGCGGAGCGCGCGCGCCAGGGGAGGTGCTGCTAGGGGTATCGGGCGCAGATCCAAGACATCTGCGTGGAGCTTCGAAAGTTCATGTTGATGCAGCTATATATATATATATATATATATGTATACATAGATGCTTCGAATTCCCCCGAGAACTGTCAGACATTCTCGGAGGCCTGTCCGAGGTTCTCGAAAGGTCCCGAACGTTACGTGTTCGATCATGGAAACCTTTGTTACCCATCGGTGATGAGCCATCTTCGACGGTCTTCGGACGGTCTTCCGCGGTCTTCGGCGATCTTCTGACGGTCTTCGGCGACGTCTGGCGGTCTTTGGCAGTTTCCAGCAGACTTCGTCGCGCAAGCTTGATGGTTGTGATCAACAAGGGGTCCATGATCGAACACCTAACGAACGTGTTCAGAGGTTCCAGACGGCCTCCGAATGTCTTCGGATTGTCTCGGGAGGTCCTGCGAGACTCTCGGATGTCCTCGCAGACGTTCGGTGCTGCTCCAGATGTTCTGATGTATTCAAAAGTGTTTGAGCTTCGTCGGCGAGAGAGGGCGGAAGCGAGAGGGAGGAGGCCTTCTCAAGGGCGGCGGGGCTTCACAGAAGCCCCCCTGCCTTCGGAGAAGCGTTCTGTGTCTTCGGGGAGGCCTTGGAAGGCTCCTTAGAATGCCCACGACTTCCGAACCTTCTGATAGGGGGCCACATGCGAACCCTACCCCTACCCCCCACGAATTCTGAGGGGGAGGGTGAGGTTCACTTCGCTCGGGAGCTCCCAGACGAAATGAAACCCACCCTCCCCCTCAGAAATCGGTGGGGGTAGGGTTCGCATGTGGGCCCCTATCCGAGAAAAGGCCTGCCCCTCTTGCTTCGCTGCTTCCCCCCCAGGCTGGCCGCCGAAACCCGTTCCTGGAAAGTTCCGGGCAACTTCTCGGAGGCAACGGGAAGCTCAACCACCTCGCGGCGCCCGTCATGAGAAAACGCGTCCGTCCCCAATCTACCCCTTCCCAGCACCCCCTCGGCCTGAAGTAGAGGGCACAAAATCCATCCCCACAAAATCCATCCCCATCCGAAGCCGTTTACTAAACGCCCCCACCCAAGGAATCGAACAGGGCAGGGCTGTTTAACGAACACCCAAGGCCGTTTAGTAAACGCCAATTGTCCGGTCCGGGTGGCATTTCCTCCCTTGATGAAGACAAGGCAAGGCGCCTCCAAGACAGCCGAGCCATGAGGTGTCAAGACCCAGCAGGCTTCCCAGGGAGCAGTTGTTTTGGTCGGCGGCGTCTCGGATCCAATGTGCGAGCGGGCGACGCCGGGGCACACGGGCGGGCATCGGGCGAGAATCTAGGGCTCCCAACTTCGCGCTTCGCGCTCCGCGAAGCGCGAATAACTTCGCGCCCTCGCGCCGCCCAAGGGAGAAAAGGAGGACGAGGAGGAGGAGGAGAAGGAACGAGGACCGCGAAGCGCGAATAACTTCGCGCCCTCGAGGGAGCCCTTGGAGAATGATGTCGTGATAGTATTGGGTCCGGATGCGTTCCAAGATCTCCAGAGAGTACCCAAACCGCCCTCGTGCCTGCGGCCCGTGTGGGACATCAGGAAAAATGGGAGCTTGGGAAACCTTCCTCATTAGAAAATGTGGAGCATTAGGATGAAATATGTGGAACATCAGGAGAAAACCTGGAAAAGCATGAGGAGCATGTGGAACATTGGGAAAACTTAGGACGTCTTGGAACGCATCCTTC